ATAAAAAATATCTCGACCTTTACACCTACGTTGTAAACTTTTAATTAAAGGCTAGTTTGTATCATTGGGTATAGGGAAACGTTTAGTATAATGTAGTAGCCTAAACCTATCAATGTTACATTGAGCTGGGTGAATGGAATATGAATGACAGTCATCCAATATGCTTAAACGGCACCAACCGCCACTGCGTTGAGGAATTGGTATGTGGTGTCACAACATAAATATTACGTATTGTTATGATTTGAACATGCCTTGGCAGCAGACAGACAGCAAACAGCAAGTGAGATATGGTCTTCCATTCACTGGCGATATGCATCACGTGTGCTGTGTCAAGGTCAATGTCATTGAAAGTGCTGCTTTGTAAATGGTTGCCGTGTTAGCACAGTCAAAGTCAGGAGCCACTGTAATACCATTACTATACCATTTATGAGAGTGGATAAGCTACAATTTAATCCTATAAACATGCTTGATCAGGAGAGCATGTCAATCATTTATCAGGTCATGTGTAGGACTGTGACACTACACCTCAAGAGAATGTCTCCTGTTAGAAGCATGTTCACATGCTGGAGTTGGAGGCAGAACTGAATATCGTAAATCAGCAATGTTATAGATTTGCTAGCAGGGATAGTGATACATTCATGTATATATAACCAGCCAACTCAGTCCAATGTCCAAAGAACTGACAGAAAACACTAGATAATTATGGAGATGACCACTCAATCATAGCATCTGAAGTGGAGTTTTATATCTAACATTTTTGTATGAAGAACTGAAGGGCAATTGTAACAGACAACATGGTCTGCCAGAGTACATGAGGAGATTTAAGAGGATTACTTTTGCAATTTTAGAGTCAATGCATTATTCATAATCCCCTGGATGGCTGGGGCCAAAACAGGGAAGGACCTCTGGTCATTAGCAGAGATAGCTAGCCCTGGGAAGTGGGGAGTGAGTAGGAAGAAGAAAGTAACTGGGTATTCAGAGGGGCTGTGGTGGTGACACATACTCAGTTGTCTTTAATATTATCATATGACACTCCAGGTTTGCTCAAGAACCTTAAGGGAATGAGGGATTTTTTTATATACAGTATATATTCTCTATGTGTGAATTACCATTTAGCTTCTTTATATGCTTTGGCTTGTGTCTGAATATAAAGTGAGGAGGACTTGAGAGGACTTTGTATGAATGTAGATACAATTTCAATTGTTTGAGATGGCTATTTCCTGGTGTGAAATAATATGATTCGATGGGAATCAGCCTTGAAGCAATGAAAATGTATATCTGTGGAAAGCTTCTGACAAACAACTGAATTTCAAATGTAGCTTATAGAGACATAACAATTCCATCAATCTACCTTTCATAATGTATAATTTCAGTTTGGCATTGCACCATTAATGGATGAGCAATATTTTCACATTCATTAAATAGTGTTTAGATCCGCAATACAACGCAATTGACTTGCAAGACAAGGTTTACCTAGTCGGAAGTTTATGTAAACACTCAGTTTTTCACAATTCCTGACATGTAATCCTAGTAAAAATTCCCTGTCTTAGGTCAGTTAGGATCACCACTTCATTTTAATAATGTGAAATGTCAGAATAATAGTAGAGAGAATAATTTATTTCAGCTTTTATTTATTTCATCACTTTCCCAGTGGGTCAGAAGTTTACATACACTCAATTAGTATTTGGTAGCATTGCATTTAAATTGTTTAACTTGGGTCAAACGTTTCGGGTAGCCTTCCACAAGCTTCCCACAATAAGTTGGGTGAATTTTGGCCCATTCCTCCTGACAGAGCTGGTGTAACTGAGTCAGATTTGTAGGCCTCCTTGCTCGCACACGCTTTTTCAGTTCTGTCCACAAATGTTCTATAGGATTGAGGTCAGGGCTTTGTGATGGCCACTCCAATACAATGTCCTTAAGCCATTTTGCCACAACTTTGGAAGTATATTTACATTTAAGTCATTTAGCAGACGCTCTTATCCAGAGCGCCTTACAGTTAGTGAGTGCATACATTTTTTCATACTGGCCCCCCGTGGGAATCGAACCCACAACCCTGGCGTTGCAAGTGCCATGCTCTACCAACTGAGCTACACGGGGCCTAAGTATGCTTGGGGTCATTGTCCATTTGAAAGACCCATTTGCGACCAAGCTTTAACTTCCTGACTGATGTCTTGAGATGTTGCTTCAATATATCCACAGAATGTTCCTTCCTCATGATGCCATCTATTTTGCGAAGTGCACCAGTCCCTCCTGCAGCAAAGCACCCCCACAGCATGATGCTTCCACTCCCGTGCTTCACGGTTGGGATGGTGTTCTTCGGCTTGCAAGCAACCCCCTTTTTCCTCCAAACATAGCGATGGTCATTATGTCCAAACAGTTCTATTTTTGTTTCATCAGACCAGAGGACATTTCTCCAAAAAGTATGATCTTTGTCCCCATGTGCAGCTGTAAACCGTAGTCTGGCTTTTTTATGGCGGTTTTGGAGCAGTGGCTTCTTCCTTGCTGAGCGTCCTTTCAGGTTATGTCGATATAGGACTAGTTTTACTGTGGATATAGATACTTTTGTATCTGTTTACTCCAGCATCTTCACAAGGTCCTTTGCTGTTGTTCTGGGATTGATTTGCACTTTCCGCACCAAAGTACGTTAATCTCTAGGAGACAGAACGCGTCTCCTTCCTGAGCGGTATGACAGCTGCGTGGTCCCATGGTGTTTATACTTGCGCACTATTGTTTGTAGAGATGAACGTGGTACCTTCAGGCGTTTGGAAATTGCTCCCAAGGATGAACCAGACTTGTGGAGGTCTACAATTTTTTTTTATGAGGTCTTGGCTGATTTATTTTTATTTTCCCATGATGTCAAGCAAAGAAGCACTGAGTTTGAAGGTAGGCCTTGAAATACATCCACAGGTACACCTCCAATTGACTCAAATTATGTCAATTAGCCTATCAGAACCTTTTAAAGCCATGACATCATTTTCTGGAATTTTCCAAGCTGTTTAAAGGCACAGTCAACTTAGTGTATGTAAACTTCTGACCCACTGGAATTGTGATACAGTGAATTATAAGTGAAATAATCTGTCTGTAAACAATTGTTGGAAAAATGACTTGTGTCATGCACAAAGTAGATGTCCTAACTGACTTGCCAAAACTATAGTTTGTTAACAATACATTTGTGGAGTGCTTGAAATACGAGTTTTAATGACTCCAACCTAAGTGAATGTAAACTTCCGACTTCAACTGTAAGTCTCTACTTTCAACATACTGTAGACATGAACTGAATAGAAAAAGGCTTCCCTTCCATCTGTAGCATGAGATACAAAAAAGGTAATAATGTCTAGGCCACAAGGTGAAACATCTGGCAGGATTCCCAATGCATTCAGTTGGCCCTTTTATCAACCCTTGTCAAATGCTATCTGAATATTGTGTGAGTGAGAGGACCTCTCTGACTGAAATACTGACAGACTCTCTTTAAAAAGGGTGGTAATGGGGCATCCTTTCTTCCTTATTTTATTCAGGTAACATTAAGGCTACTGTGGTAGAATCAGTGCTGATAAATCGCCCACATGGTCAGAAGGCAATGCTTAGGCTAATACAGGCTCTTCGAAATATGAATGACTTACATACGATTTTTCTACATAACTTCATAACCTCATTACAATCTGTTTCATTATCAGAAAATTGTGTGGTGCAGTGCTTTGGGTTTTGGACTTATCAGGAGTTTGGGATGAAAAAAACCCAACAAGCATATTGATGGATTGACTACGTCTCAAATGATTGAACGTGATTGCTTTCAGAGAAGTGACTATGCCATGAAGGGTCTGCCTTTGTGTAGTAACAAACGATGTATTTAGGTTTATTTATCACATAGTGTGTCATCGTATAAAGATGATGAACTAGCTCAGCTCTGATGTGTCCTTTTATCACCATTTCATTCCCTAAAACTGCATTCCATGTTTGTCCGTTGGTAATCAAATCTCTTAAAAATCTCGTACATTATTCCAATGACAAAAACATTATTCAATACAATACAGACCCTTAATATGACAGCTCTGCATATATAATACCTATAGAAATCTTTATTTGGAATAAGAAAAATAACATAAAAGAAGGTGTGTCTGTGTGTGTGTCATCTGTGACATCAATCGTGATCTTGTATAAATAAAGCTCTGGGCCCGGTTGCATGAAACAGCTTAAGTTGTCTTTTCCATTAAAGTTACCTTAACTTTAAGTCAGTTGCACAAAATATTTAAAGGTGAATTCCCCCCTTAAATTAAATGAAAAAGTTAAGGAACCCCATGATGTCCCTTAACTGTTTAATTTAGTATGGATTTCAATGTAAACGTCATTTGTGGAGGTGACTGATGCTTTCATCTGCCCTGGTTACAAAAGGGAAGCATTAACCAGCTAGCTACTTACCTAAACAATGGAAGGTGCACAATCCATGGCTACGAAGCTAGCTGGCTAGTTAGCTCTCTACTCTGTAAGCTAGCTTGACGTGCTAGAAAGTAATAGAAACAAGTTGAGAAAAAAGTAATTACAATAAATGTGGTTTATTATCTTCTGAAGCAATTTGGTTATCCTGTCTTCATTGTAGAAGTTCTATTTTTCTATCTCACAAAATAAATGTGATCTCTTTGATGAAACATTTAGTCAGTGAATCAGGCCGTCTCCATGGTAACCAGCTACTCTTTCAGCCGTACATGCCTTCAAACTACAGTAAAACCCCTTAAGTATGCTCTTACCTAAGGGAAATTTGAGGGGCTCTATGCAACACCCTTAAACAATTCTCTTAGATAAGGGACAATTATTCCTTAAGGTAAACCCTTAAGGGAAACACTTAAGATGTTTTTTGCAACCGGGCCCTGACAGTCTAGATGTTAGTTGCTCAATGACAGAACAAATGAAATAAAAACTATCTGCTGCCTTCCTAAAGTATATGTACTGTGATTCCACCCCAGCATAATATGACATACACTGTATATTTCTCTCCCTTCTCCCAGAAACCATGGTGAGCAAGGAGAGCAGCAGGGTCATGCTCTCCAACTCAGAGTCAGATTCAGAGACAGGCCCGTCACATAGCTTGGAGGCGCAATATGGTCCTGACGGCAAACAGCAGGTGAAGAAGAGGAACAAAGCCTTACAAGTCCGCTTCAAGGACATCTGTGACGCCCAGAACGAGCAGCGGGCAGGGGGGCGAGGAGCCAGGTCAATTTCCTGTAAAGTGGCATACAGGAAGTACATGGCGATGCCTGCACGGCGCTCCATCCCCAATGTGACTAAGAGCACGGGTGTCCAGACATCACCAGACCTTACGAAACACTACCAGACTTTCCCCTTCGAGCGAAAGAAAGGACACACGATCAAACACACGGCCTTGGTGGAGGACTACAAGGGTCAAAACAATGGATTTTTGAGTGACTTGAAAGGTCAGGAGGAGGCAGTGAGTTTAGAGGAGTGCTCGTCCTCTCAGGGTGCAGGGAAGCATGTGCGGCAGACGAAGGCACTGCTTCACCACAGGGACGACAGCAATGGCACAGAGGATCTGTTATCCGGTGCCAACTGTGTAGACGGACATGCGCGCATGGACCCCTCTCTCCTCACAAAGGACACAGAGTGCTTTGCAAATGACCCAACCTCCAGGGGAGAGCCGGAGAACCAGGCATGTGGCGCAAGGACCAAACACAAAGGATTATCCAAAGTGGATGCGACGGGTGCCAACCATTCCGCCAAACGCCAGCTGGCAAACTGCGAGGAACCCTTACAGGACACAAGGTCAAAGGTCACAAGTCCTGTTGCCTGGAACTCCCTGACGCAAGTGGAGAGTCTAGGCCTAGGGAGTCCGTCGGTGCACTACAAACGCAAGAAGTCCATGCAAACCAATCGACCACAATCTCAGACACTGCCCCACCCCCACAGTGGTGGCTGCTCTGTGGCCAAGGTAAAGGCACATCAGTACCGATCAGGGACTTTACCAGCCCCAAGGAAACCACAGCCGGGCCTGGAGGACCAGGCTTGCCCCCCAGGACGGCAGGGTGCCTGCCAGCAGATAGTGCCCTTACCTGGGAATGGTGATATTAAAGGAAAGCTCCAGGCCATGGAAAACCTCATCAGCTCCAGTCAGGAGACCATCAAAGTCTTACTGGGGGTCATCCAAGAGCTGGAGAAGGGCGAGGCTCAGAGAGAAGGGTGAGTTGAACTCATTTATGTCCACCATGCATCAAATGTGTCTAAATTCCTCAAGGTGGGAGTTTGACGCTACTTCTTACTTCACAGGAGGGTCGTTTAACAAATAATATATATATATTTTTTGCAGAATTGCATTTTTGAAAATTTTCATGTGCCTTGATTACAAACTCGTTGTAATCTGTAAATATCGATAGAATGTTACATTACGAGCCTAGTTTAGCCAAGCCGAAAGCACTGAGCTATATAGGGAGAAAGACAGGATCCTTCCTGGTTAGCCATGATTGGCTGAGATAATGGTGGGGCTAAACATGCCAAGAGATGAGTCCTGATTGGTCTGACATGTCACAGGCTTCTGTCTATAACAGAATGGGGGCTTCCCTGGTCAGTTTATACAGTTGAAGTCGGAAGTTTACATACACCTTAGCCAAATACATTTAAACTCAGTATTTCACAATTCCTGACATTTAATCCTAGTAAAAATTCCCTGTCTTAAGTCAGTTAGGATCACCACTCTATTTTAAGAATGTGAAATGTCAGAATAATAGTAGAGAGAATTATTTCTTTCAGCTTTTATTTCTTTCATCACATTCCCAGTGGGTCAGAAGTTTACATACACTCAATTAGTATTTGGTAGCATTGCCTTTAAATTGTTGAACTTGGGTCAAACGTTTCGGGTAGCCTTCCACAAGCTTCCCACAATAAGTTGGGTGAATTTTGGCCCATTCCTCCTGACAGAGCTGGCGTAACTGAGTCAGGTTTGTAGGCCTCCTTGCTCGCACACGCTTTTTCAGTTCTGCCCACACATTTTCTATAGGATTGAGGTCAGGGCTTTGTGATGGCCACTCCAATACCTTGACTTTGTTGTCCTTAAGCCATTTTGCCACAACTTTGGAAGTATGTTTGGGGTCATTGTCCATTTGGAAGACCCATTTGCAACCAAGCTTTAACTTCCTGACTGATGTCTTGAGATGTTGCTTCAATATATCCACATAATTTTCCTTCCTCATGATGCCATCTATTTTGTGAAGTGCACCAGTCCCTCCTGCAGCAAAGCACCCCCACAGCATGATGCTTCCAACCCTGTGCTTCACGGTTGGGATGGTGTTCTTCGGCTTGCAAGCCACCCCCCTTTTTCCTTCAAACATAACGATGGTCATTATGGCCAAACAGTTCTATTTTTGTTTCATCAGACCAGAGGACATTTCTCCAAAACGTTCGATCTTTGTCCCAATGTGCAGTTGGTAGTCTGGCTTTTTTATGGCAGTTTTGGAGCAGTGGCTTCTTCCTTACTGAGCGGCCTTTCAGGTTATGTCGATATAGCACTTGTTTTACTGTGGATATAGATACTTTTGTACCTGTTTCCACCAGCATCTTCACAAGGTCCTTTGCTGTTGTTCTGGGATTTATTTGCACCAAAGTACGTTCATCTCTCGGAGACAGAACGCGTCTCCTTCCTGAGTGGTATGACGGCTGCGTGGTCCCATGGTGTTTATACTTGCATACTATTGTTTGTACAGATGAACGTGGTACCTTCAGGTGTTTGGAAATTGCTCCCAAGGATGAACCAGACTTGTAGAGGTTTACAATTTGTTTTCTGAGGTCTTGGCTGATTTCTTTTGATTTTCCCATGATGTCAAGCAAAGAGGCACTGAGTTTGAAGGTAAGCCTTGAAATACATCTACAGGTACACCTCCAAATGACTCAAATTATGTCAATTAGCCTATCAGAAGCTTCTAAAGCCATGACATCATTTTCTGGAATTTTCCAAGCTGTTTAAAGGCACAGTCAACTTAGTGTATGTAAACTTCTGACTCACTGGAATTGTGATACAGTGAATTATAAGTGAAATTATTATGTCTGTAAACAAAGAAGAGCTCTCTAGCAAGTGTGGAAATCGCAGCAAAATTTTAAAGGTATTTTTCTCAAAAGTGGGTGTCCAAGTGTATCAACTTTAAAAGCAGCATTGCTTTCCCATTACTTTCTCAAATTGCATTGTATGATATACCATTTTGTACTTTTCAGGTTCCGACATTAACGATGGTCCGCTGGCCTGGAGCCAACAAAAACATGTCGGGCAATTGGATCTCGTTGGGCCAGTAACTTTTCAGCGCATTTTCGCGTTCCAGTTCAACATTTACCTCCTCTGTTGCAGTCTACCATTGAAAATCATTAAAGACTACACACGCAAAAGTTATGCTGTTTGTTTTTGAGCTATATGATTGCCCATTCATTCAAGCACCACCACGATCCCGCAAGTCACAACTTCTCGAGGGCTCGAGCTGCACTGAGTTGATGCCTTCACACAGCACACGCAAGCTGTCCAGAGCAAAAAGAAGCACCCATCAATCTACTCGAAGAGTATATTTATTTTAGGGAAAGTTATTTTAAAAAGTAAACCTTCAATAGTGAACATACTAGCAATATGCTGGCTACTGTTGATAGTCTGCAAAAAGAAAGATACCTAGCATTCGTCTTGGCTAGCCTACTGTAGCCAGGTCGATATCTCTTTTGGAACGTTTGTCTTAAAGGGTCAGCATCCTATTTTGTGATTTAAAAGAAATCTCTAAATGACATACACTACTGTACTTTAGAAACAAAAATGAATGCAATTAATACAATGCAATTCTAAAGAATAGAGTAATGGGCCCTGCATGACCCCAATGCATTTTAAAACTACACTATGTCCGAGCCAGTAGAAATTCTGTTCGGGTCAGTAGATTTTTTGCCAACTGAGAAAAAAAGTCAACGTTGGACCCTGGTTTTATAAACTGTAAAGAACAGTTTGTCAAAAAATTACAATAAGCCTAGGATCCTGTAACCAGTCACATATGGAATTGATGTAACTGACATACTCAAGGCGGCACATGCATTTTGTCTGTGTGGTTCAGTCATCACTGAGATTTGATGTTCTAGGTAGTCCTGCAGCCCTTCAAACTGCTGTGGTCTAACAGTATGTGTAAGCTAAATTAAGTTTGTGAATACATACATCAAGGCTATCTGTGTCATCTCATTCCAATATCAAGGAAGTAAGTGTTCTCTGATTGTACTATAGATATCATTAAGTATATTTGCTCAGTTGTACAGAGGTACTAACAAGTGCATAAAGTTTATGTGCCAACTCCAAAAGGCCAAACGTCTTCAGCATTAGACTGAATGCACAAGGCTGTCTGCTCTGCTCCATCACTAAAGTCCAGAGTGGCACAAAGCAAATTGCATTAAGCATTCGCCACAGCCACTGAAGAACACAGCACCCCTGATGTCGCTCCTTGAAGCCTAGTTTAAAAGGGCCAATTATCAGTGCATCATAAAGCACTGGCTTTCATCTCCTCTGAAGTGTGGGGCTCATATGGCCCCTTTAGTATGTTTCACCACTATTATTACAGCCCGCTAGTCACCACAAGGCCCCAGCATCTCAGCTCCCTCCCCACCTTCTCTCTCCCTGCCAAGCCACTCTAAAGCTGTCTGTCTTCAAAGTGATGGTCCCAGATTCCTGGTGGAACAGAACAGTGTCTGAAAGCCCGTCATATTCTCACCGGGATAAAGGCATTACAGTATGTGGGTGGATTTCTCAGGTGAAAGCTCTGCTTTTAGAGCACACAGTGATGTGGAAGTCAGCGCTATAGGGACGGTGAGGATATCTTATTTGCACGATGCGGACCAGCAAATAACACCGGAGTGAGCCTGTGCCAGCAAACAGTGGCAGAGCTTAGAGATGACTTATAGTGTCAGAGCTTAGAGAATTACTTTCTGACACAATGTCCGCACATAAAGTCATCTGGCCTAACACAACCTTGGTACATTGCTAGATTAACTGAAAATGCAGTTCAGTAAATACAATTGTAGTTTAGATGGTGTGTTACAGTAGACAAGGTCGTGCTAGAAATGTGATGACCTTGATTATGATGGTACCACTCAATATCTCAACAAAAACCTCCCTTCTGTTTGTGTGACTCGAAGAGTTATTGTGTACTCAGGCCCTCAACTCCACATTCAAGAGCAACCACCTCTAAGGTGACATGGGCAGATTAACTTGGTGACCTTGCAATCCCATCAGCAATTTCGATCCATCCAAGACAGATAAGGTCATCCTTATGACATGGTGAGCAGCAGAGTCCAACCCCTCTAGTTCTCATCCATCATCCCCCAGTGACAATAAGAAATTACATGTCCTAGTGGACCCGGATGCCCCTTCTGCTTTCCAGTTGACCACTCCCTACCAGTGGAGGCTGGTGGGAGGAGCTATAGGAGGACAGGCTCATTGTAATGGTTGGAATGGAATAAATGGAACGATTTCAAAAACATCAAACATATGGAAACCACGTTTGACTCCATTCCTTTCATTCCATTCCAGCCATCACAATGAGCCTGTCCTCCTATAGCTCATCCCACCATCCTCCACTGCTCCCTACACACCCTCTGAACAAAATAAATGAGAAATCCCAATGCTGCCACCAACGTACGTGACATGATGGACGGGACTGTTGACACTAGGAGAGTCCTGGAGAGATTTATATAGATGCCATCAAATCTCCATGCATGTTCAGGTCACACTTATGTCTGCTTAAGTGTGCCTCTGAGATGCCTCAGGAGCAGAATGTACATACAGTTGTGCCGAAGAAGGAGGAAGCATAGCAATCTAAGTAATGACAAGACAATACAGGGCGGACACTGGGAATTAGGGCTCTTTGGAATGCCATAAAGTACACAGACATCATTTGTCATGTTGATTGTCTTTTGCCTCCATAAATCTAATTATTTTCTGAATACATTCAGTTGGATGGAGCACAGAGAGATCAAGTATATTGATTTTCCTTTAGTATTCATAAACATGGTTAATAATGCATTAGTTCTGTTAGAAAGTCTGGAGAAAAATATATTATGAACACCATTTGTATACTGTGTCATAAGGACAGAGATGAGCATATTACATCAAGTGAGCATGTCTATTACCTGACCAACCCAATCTCACAGAAGACTGTAGCATTATTAACACAAATCCATGTTTGAAAAATAGATACATGAAAATGAAATAAATACATAACGAAATGCCATGAAAATCATCCATTATTTCCCCTCTCCCCAGGCTTTCCTACCGAACGGGACAGGACACAGCCAACTGTGACACATGTCGAAACAGTGCCTGCATCATTTATAGGTGAGTACTTTAACATGTCTTGTTTACAGCTTTAAAGGTAACTTACACCTGCTATGGCACAACATATTGATGGCATGAGAGATGCTTATATGTGTGAGGTGATATACTGTAATGTGGCAAACCAAGTGCTAAGAGTCAATTGAGTGTAATGTGTTTTCTGGTAAGGAGTAGAATAGAATACTTTACTGAACTCAGAGGATATCATTCATCTCACTGCATGGTTTTAATGAAGTATTAATGGGCATAGCTCGATTGTGATACAATAATGACATTTGATAGAATACTTCTGTCAGAGTGAGATCAATTTATTGAGCATCATCCACCTGAATCTGAGGTGGAAATAGATACTAGGAAATGGTGTGACTGAGATCAATGATAGGTTCACTGAAGGAGAAGAGAACACTCCTATCTGGGTCAGATCAGTGATGAAAATAAACTATTTATATCCTATTACAATTATGTATAGACGTCCTCAACTCTTATTTCAGAATCTGGTGAGCATTTAAATAGAGAATGTAGTCAATGTAGAAAGGAATTAACACATAAGCCGAATTGGAAGCAGCAAATTGAGTTGAATTTCTAGACACAGGTTGTGCAGATATAACATTGTCATTGTTGAAGGTAATAAAATAAATAAAACTATAGATGACTTACAAGTGAATTTTGATAAACACCCGCCACCCACTCGTCCCACTTGGGTAAACACTTGTACATGTTCTGACTTCTCCACTCGTCTGAGAGATATAAATGATCCTCAGGCAGGTTGCAAATACATTCACACTGTGACTAAATTTTTCCCAATAGTCTTATTCCATCACTGTAGCTTTGCATTCAGAGACAATAATAAAAATGTCCATCTCAGAGATCGACTCCAATTTAAACAATATACATATTACAGAATATACAGAAGCATACCATCTGAATCATGGTAAAAACATGAGTACTGAGCCTCCAAAGTTCGGCACCATCAAGATTTTAGTTGTTATTGTACCCTAGTGTGCCAGCAAACACCTTCCATTCAATGTTCTGCTTCTTCAGCTGCACGGCCTTTTCCAGCCTTACAGGCAGGGGAAAACATCAGATAGCAGGTTTTATGAGGTCACTGAGTTGCAAATAAACACCAATACAAGCACTGCTGTAGCAGAGATCTAAAAAAGTGAACCAATTCAAAAAAGAAATTGCACTCATTATCGTCATCTTAGTGAACAACTCATGCTTAAGTACATCCACTTTATCCAATGAAAAAACAGCATGATTTTTTTTACTTTGGCTAAGGGAACATTTAAATAATTTGACCAACAGCCTCACTCTCCAATTACTATAGTTGATATTAGATGTTAGATAAGGTCTCTAATGCTAACAGAGTGACCTGAACATTGACTGGTTATCCTCTAGTTGTCCTATCAAGAGGAAGCTTCTTATCGTGACTAATGCCTGTAACATGACCCAGGTTATCGCTCAACCAACTAGAGTGAATACCAATAGTGATGGATCTGTGACATCCACTTATATTGATAATATATTTACTAATGCTGCATTTTTTAAAACATCTTTAGTCATTTAGCAGACGCTCTTATCCAGAGCGACTTACAGTTAGTGAGTGCATACATTTTCATACTGGCCCCCGTGGGAAATGAACCCACAACCCTGGCGTTGCAAGCGCCATGCTCTACCAACTGAGCTACAGGGGACAGAGTTTAGTTCCAAAGCAATATCAGTTCCCATTGGCTGTAGTGACCATAACATTGTGGCAATAACAAGGAAAGCCAACGTACATAAGGTTATTTATAGGAGATCATACAAAATGTTTTATCAGGACTCCTTTGTTGAAGATGTAAAACATTTATGCTGGTCTGATGTGTATAAAAAAAATAGTATGGTTAAAATTAATTATGCAAAAAAGGTGCCAAACAAGTCAGGCTGCTCAGCTGATTGGTTGACATACTGTCAATTGAGAAATGTTGTAACTCAATTTAACAAAAAACAAGATAAATGACATAAAAACAATGGCAAAAGACATTAGAGCACCTTAAATGATAATTCGGGCAGAAAACCCAATTAATCTCCATTATTCATTGAAGTTCATGGGTCATTTATAACAAAACCTTTTGATATAGCCAATCATTTCAATGACTGTTTCACTGATAAAGTGGACAAACTGAAAAGTGAAATGACAACATTTAACAGTGAACCATCATATTTGTGTATTGAAGCTCTAATATTTAAAGAGAACGATTGCTGTTTTGAATTTTGTGTGGAAGAGGTGGAAAAATGATTGCTATACATCAATAATGATCAGCTACCAGGTATAGACTACCTAGATGGGAAACTATTTGAGAATGGTAGCAGACTGTATTGCCACCCCTATTTGCCATGTCTTTAAACTAAAGGAGTGTGTGTGTGTCCACAGGCGTGGAAGGAAGCTAAAGTAATTCCACTGCCTAAAAATAGTAAAGCCCCCTTTGCTGGCTCTAACAGCCCACCAATCAGTTTGCTGCGTGTTCTCACTAAACTGATGGAGAACAAATGCAATGCTATTTTTCAAAGAACAGGTTAACTACTGACTTTCAGCATGCATATAGGGAAGCACACTCAACTTGTGCTGACTGGCTTAAATAAATGAACAATAGTGATAGTTGGAGCTGTATTGTTAGATTTCAGTGCAGCCTTTGATGTTATTGATCATAATTTGTTATTGAGAAAACTCAATTGTTATGGCTTTACATCACCTTTCATCACATGGTTGGAGAGTTACTTATCCAATAGAACTTAGAGTTTATTCTTCAATGGAAGCTTCTCTAACATCAGATATATACAGTACAGTATCCCTCAGGGCAGTTACCTTGGGCCATTACACTTCTTTTTTTTATTTCTTTTTTTTTTTTTTACAAATGATTTGCCACTTGTCTTACAAGAAACTAAAATGACTATGTATGCTGATGTCTGCACACTCTACACATCAGCACCTACAGCCAGTGAGCTCACCGAGACTCTTAGCAAGGAGTTACAGTCAGTGTCATATGGGTAATTAACAATAAACAGGTCTTAAATACATCTATAACCAAAAGCATTGTATTTGGTTCAAAGTTGTGTATAAAGAGTGTGACTATTGAACAAGTTGAAGAAGCTGAAACTCCAAGGAGTAACATTGGATAGTCCGTTATCATGGTCAAGTCATATTGACAAAGTTGTTGTGAAGATGGGGAGAGGTACACTGTATGTCTGTTATAAAAAATATATTCTGCGTTTTTGACACAAAGATCAACTGTACTAGTTGTTCAGGCTCTGATCTTGTCCTATCTTGATCACTGTCTGGTAATATGGTCAGGTGTAGCAAAGAAAGACCTAGAATGCTACAGCTGGCTAAAAAATAAAGCAGCATGCCTTGCGCTTAACTGTGCACACAGAACTAACAACAACAACATGCATGATAGTCTTTCATGTTTGAGTGTTGAGGAGAAATTAACTACTTCTCTTCTAGTCTTTTTCAGAAAGATTTGTGTGTTGAAAAGCAATGGTATAATCAATTTGTATACACTTCAAACAGACATACATACAGTGGCTTGCGAAAGTATTCACCCCCCTTGGCATTTTTCCTATTTTGTTGCCTTACAACCTGGAATTAAAATTGATTTTTGGGGGGTTTGTATCATTTGATTTACACAACATGAAATAAGACACACAAAAAAAACAGAAAACTTGAGCGTGCATAACTATTCACCCCCCCAAAGTCAATACTTTGTAGAGCCACCTTTTGCAGTAATTACAGCTGCAAGTCTTTTGGGGTATGTCTCTATAAGCTTGGCATATCTAGCCACTGGGATTTTTGCCCATTCTTCAAGGCAAAACTGCTCCAGCTCCTTCAAGTTGGATGGGTTCCGAAGGTGTACAGCAATCTTTAAGTCATACCACAGATTGTCAATTGGATTGAGGTCTGGGCTTTGACTAGGCCATTCCAAGACATTTAAATGTTTCCCCTTAAACCACGCATGTGTTGGTTTAACAGTATGCTTAGGGTCATTGTCCTGCTGAAAGGTGAACCTCCGTCACAGTCTCAAATCTCTGGAAGACTGAAACAGGTTTCCCTCAAGAATTTCCCTGGATTTAGCGCCATCCATCATTCCTTCAATTCTAACCAGTTTCCCAGTCCCTGCCGATGAAAAACATCCTCACAGCATGAGGCTACCACCACCATGCTTCACTGTGGGGATGGTGTTCTCGGGGTGATGAGAGGTGTTGGGTTTGCGCCAGACATAGCATTTTCCTTGATGGCCAAAAAGCTCAATTTTAGTCTCATTTGTTTGGGGAGTGTCCCACATGCCTTTTGGCGAACATCAGACGTGTTTGCTTATTTTTTTCTTAAGCAATGGCTTTTTTTGGCCACTCTTCCGTAAAGCCCAGCTCTGTGGAGTGTACGGCTTAAAGTGGTCCTATAGACAGATACTCCAATCTCCGCTGTGGAGCTTTGCAGCTCCTTCAGGGTTATCTTTGGTATCTTTGTTGCCTCTCTGATTAATGCCTTCCTTGCAAGGTCAGTGAATTTTGGTGGGCGGCCCTCTCTTGGCAGGTTTGTTGTGGTGGCATATTCTTTCCAATTTTTTATAATGGATTTAATGGTGCTCCGTGGGATGTTCAAAGTTTCAGATCTTTTTTCATAATCCAACCCTGATCTGTACTTCTCCCCAACTTTGTCCCTGACCTGTTAGGAGAGCTCCTTGGTCTTCATGGTGCCGCTGGCTTGGTGGTGCCCCTTGCTTAGTGGTGTTGCAGACTCTGGGGCCTTTCAGAACAGGTGTATATATACTGAGATCATGTGACAGATCATGTGACACTTGGGTTGCACACAGGTGGACTTTATTTAACTAATTATGTGACTTCTGATGGTAATTGGTTGCGCAAGATCTTATTTAGGGGCTTCATAGCAAAGGGGGTGAATACATATGCATGCACCACTTTTCCGTTATATATTGTTTTGCATTTTTTGAAGCAAGTAATTTT